CTTAACATACAAGGGTAGACATATAAGGCTGGCAGCAGACCTGTCCACAGAGACCTGGCAGACCAGAAAGGACTGGCATGACATATTCAATGTGCTAAATGGGAAAAATATGCAGCTAAATGTCATTCAGAATAGAAGGGGAGATAAAGAGTTTCCAGGAAAAACAAAAACTAAAGGAATTTATATATTTTTAAAGATTTTATTTATTTACTAGAGTGAGAGACAGCGCACAAGTTGGGGGGAACGGGCAGAGGGAGAGGGAAAAACAGACTCCCCGCTGAGCAGTAAAACTGACATGGGGCTCGATCGCAGGATCATAACCAGAGCTGAAGATAGACACTTAACCAACTGAGTCACCCAGGCACCCCCAAAACTAAAGGAATTTGTAAACATCAAATCAGTGCTACAAGAACTATTAAAGGGGATACGTTGAGCAGAGAGAGAGCCCATTAGTAACAGAGACCAGAAAGGAACAGACAAATTCTACAGGAACAGTGACTTTACAGGTAATACAATGGAACTAAATTCATATCTTTCAATAATTACTCTAAATGTAAATGGCCCCAATGCTCCAATCAAAAGAAATAATGTATCAGAATGGATAAAATAAAGAAGACCCACCAATAAGAGACTCATTTTAGACCCAAAGACACCTCCAGATTGAAAGTGAGGGTGTGGAAGACCATTTATCATGCTAATGGACATCAAAAGAAAGCTTGAGTAGCCATCCTTATATCAGACAAACTAGATTTTAAACAAAAGACTGTAGTAAGAGATGAAGAAGGACACTATATCATAATAAAGGTTCTATCCAACAAGAAGATCTAACAATTGCAAATATTTATGCCCCCAAGTTGGGAGCAGATAAGTATATAAACCAATTAAAAACAAAATTAAAGAAACACATCAACAATAATACAATAATAGTAGGGGACATTAACACCCCACTCACAGCAATGGACAGATCATCTAAGCAGAAGATCAACAAGGAAACAAGGGCTTTGAATGACACACTGAACCAAATAGATTTCAATGATATAGTCAGAGCATTTCATCCTAAAAAAGCAGAACAGAAATTTTTCTCGAGTGCACATGGAACATTCTCCAGAACAGATGACATACTGGGTCACAAATCAAGTCTCAACCAGTACAAAAAAACTGAGATTATACCCTGCATATTTTCAGATCACAATGCTATGAAACTTGAAGTCAACCACAAGAAGAAATTTTGAAAGACCACAAATACATGGATGTTAAAGAACATCCTACTAACGAATGAATGAGTCAACCAGGAAATTAAAGAACAATTAAAAAAATACATGGATGCAAATGAAAATGAAAACACGACAGTTCAGAACCTTTGGGATGCAGCAAAGGTGGTCCTAAGAGGGAAGTATATAGCAATACAGGCCTTTCTCAAGAAACAAGAAAAGTCTCACACATACAACCTAACCTTACACCTAAAGGAGCTGGGAAAAAAAACAGCAAATAAAGCCTAAATCCAGCAGGAGAAGAAAAATACTAAAGATTAGAGAAGAAATCAAAGATATAGAAATAAAAAAACAGTAGAAAAGATCAATGAAACTAGGATCTGGTTCTTTGAAAGAATTAATAACATTGATAAACCCCTAGCCAGATTTTTCAAAATGGAAAGAGAAAGGACCCAAATAAATGAAATCATGAATGAAAGAGGAGAGATCACAACCGACACTGAAGAAATACAAACAAATATAAGAGAATATTATAAGAAATACAAACACATATAAGAGAATATTATGAGCAATTATATGCCAAACAATTAGGCAATCTGGAAAATATGGATGCATTCTTAGAAACATATAAACTACCAAAACTGAAACAGGAATAGAAAACCTGAACAGACCTATAACCAGGAAAGAAATTGAATCAGTCATCAAAAATCTTCCAAGAAATAGGTGTCCAGGACCGGATGGCCTCCCAGGGGAATTCTACCAAACACTGGAAGAAGAATTAATACCTATTCATCTGAAACTTTTCCAAAAGATAGAAATAGAAAGAAAACTTCCAAACTCATTCTATGAGGCCAGCATTACCTTGATCCCAAAATCAGACAAAGACTCCACCAAAAAGAATTACAGACCAATATCCCTGATGAACATGGATGCAAAAATTCTCACCAAGATACTAGCTAATAGGATCCAACAATACATTAAAAAGATTCTTCACCATGACCCAGTGGAATTTATTCTTGGGCTGCAGGGGTGTTTCAGCATCCACAAATCAATCATTGTGATACATCATATCAATAAAAGAAAGGACAAGAACCCCATATGATCCTCTTAATAGATGCAGAAAAATCATTTGACAAAATACAGCATCCTCTCTTGATAAAAACCCTCCAAAATGTAGGGATAGAGGGAACATACCTCAACATCATAAAGGCATATACAAAAGACCCACAACTTTTTTGTCTTGAGGTCAGGAATATGACAGGGTTGTCCACTCTTACCACTGTTGTTCAACATAGTACAGGAAGTCCTAGCCTCAACAATCAGACAATAAAAAGAAATAGAATACATCCAAATTGGCAAAGAAGTCAAACTTTCACTCTTCACAGACAACATGATAGTCTACCTAGAGAACCTAAAGACTACCCAAAAATTGCTAGGACTGATACAGGGATTCAGCAAAGTTGCAGGATATAAAGTCAACCCACAGAAGTCTGTTGCATTTCTATACACTAACAATGAGGCAGCAGAGAAATCAAGGAATCGATCCCATTTACAACTGCACCAAAAACCATTACATACCTAGGAATTAACCTAACCAAAGAGATAAAAGATCTGTACTCTGAAAACTATAGAACACTTATGAAAGAAATTGAGGAAGACACAAAAAATGGAAAAACATTCCATGCTCATGGATTGGAAGAATAAATATTGTTAAAATGTGTATGCTACACAAAGCAATCTGCACATCCAGGGCAATCCCCACCAAAATACTGCCAGCATTTTTCACACAGCTGGAACAAACAATCTTAAAATTTGTATGGAATCTGAAAAAACTGCGAAATAGCCAAAGGAATGTTGAAAAAGAAAACCAAAGCTGGAGGCATCACAATTCCAGACTGCAGGTTGTATTACAAAGTTGAAATTATTGAGACAGTATGGTGCTGGTATAAAAACAAACACATATATCAATGGAATAGAATAAAGAACCCAGAAATGGATTCTCAACTCTATTGTTAGTTAATGTTTGATAAAGCAGGAAAGAATATCCATTTGAAAAAAGAGTCTCTTCAACAACTGATCTTGGGAAAATTGGACAGCCACATGCAGAAGAATGAAACTGGACCACTTTCTTAGAGCATACACAAAGATAAACTCAAAATGGATGAAAGACCTAAATGTGGGACAGGAATCCATCAAAATCCTAGAGGAGAACACAGACAGCAACTTATTTGACCTTGGCTACAGTAACTTCTTGCTAGACAGGTCTCCAAAGACAAAGGAAACAAAAGCAAAAGTGAACTATTGGGACTTCATCAAGATAAAATGCTTCTGCACAGCAAAGGAAACAATCAACAAAACCAAAAGACAATGGACAGAATAAAGATATTCACAAATGACATCTCAGATAAAGGGCTAATATCCAAAATCTATAAAGAAATTATCAAACTTAACACCCAAAAAACAAATAATCCGGTCAAGAAATGGGCAGAAGACATGAACAGACAGAATATGTCCAAATTGGCAAAGAAGTCAAACTTTCACTCTTCACAGACAACATGATAGTCTACCTAGAGAACCTAAAGACTCCAAAGAACACATACAAATGACTATCGTGAAAAAATTTGGACATCATTCAGCATCAGGGAAATATAAATCAAAACCACAATGAGATATCACCTCATACCTGTCAGAATGGCTAAAATTAACAACACAAGAAACAACAGATGTTGGTGAGGATGCAGAGAAAGGGAACTTTCTTACACTGTTGGAGGAATGCACACTGGTGCAGCTACTCTGGAAAACAGTATGGAGGTTCCTCAAAAAGTTAAAAATAGAACTACCCTACTACCTAGCAATTGTACTGCTAGGTATTTATCCAAAGGATACAAAAATATTGATTTGAAGGGGCACATGCACCCCAATGTTTATAGCAGTAGTGTCCCCAATAGCCAAAATATGGAAAGAACCCAGATGTCCATTGACAGATGAATGGATAAAGAAGATGTGGTGTGTGTGTATATATATACATATATATATATATATGTATATATATACACACGGGAATATATATATATATATATATATATATATATATATACACACAAAGGAATATTATTAGCTATCATAAAGAATGAAATCTTACCATTTGCAATGATGTGAATGGAACTAGAGGGTATTATGCCAAGCAAAATAAGTCATCAGAGAAAGACAAATACCATATGATTTCACTCATATGTGGAATTTAAGAAACAAAACTGATGAAAATAGGGGAAGGGAAGGGAGAATAAAATAAGATGAAACCAGAGAGGGAGACAAACCATAAGAGACTCTTAACTATAGGAAACAAACTGAGGGTTGCTGGGGGGAGGTGAGTGGGAGATGGGGTAACTGGGTGAAGGGCTTTAAGGAGGACAGTTGATGTAATGAGCACTGGATGATATATGTTATTGATGAATCACTAAATTTTACTCCTGAAGCTAATAATATATTACATGTTAACTAAATTGAATTGAAATAAAAATAAAAAAATAATTATATCACTAATTCAAACAGTGGTTTCTTAGTCTTCAAAGTATCTATGGCCAGTGATTTTGCAATAGATTATCCTTCTATAGACTATCCTACCCTTAATTTACCTTTATCACTAAGAGGCCTTTTTAAAGATTATCCTGAATCTCTCTTCTGTAAATGAAGGTTATTTGCTTCTTTTTTCAACTTCTTGTTTTTGTTTTGTTTTGCATTTCTGCTTGCCTGTCTCTTTAGCCTTTAGGAAGTAACCATGATTCTTACCTTTTGATTTGGCTGTTGTGGGAGTGTAAATATAGACTTCCAGTAGGTCCAGGTAAAGAACACAAAGATGGCATGGTAAAATATGAGGTAGATAACTGAAATTTAAGAGAAAAAAAATCAGTGTTCATATTATCTTTTTTGTCCATTTCTAGCAGTTCAGAAAGACATAAAACTAGACCACAAATTTCTGTTTTGTTTTCTTATTACCAAGTATTTTCTATTGTTATTATAAAATGTTAATTCTTACCTTTTCCCCATGAAGTGACAGAAATAGGTTACAGTGCCAAATTTTCAGTGAGACCTTCTGGAAGTTGTATGTTTTAAAAGTTGCCATGTGATTCTAAAACTAAAGGGGAAATGTTCTTTATGACAATGTGAGGGAAGCTACCATAGCCACTTATCATTATCTCTGCCACTGTAGGTGCTAAAAGATGATAATGATAGTATTTGCACAACACTATAGAGTTTACAACATGATTTCATAATATTATCTCATTTTATTGTTTCAATAACTTTGTGAGATAGGTAATAGGATAGGGACAGTTGGTTATCAGGAATAGCTGATTATCCAAAGTGATACAGCTACATTATAATGTATCCAGGTCTTAAACACAGGATTACTGACTATAAATCACAAATTCTTTTCAGTAACCTCAAAGACTATATGTTCATTTTCTTTTTGCAAGCAATCTGGATTCATATTTATTGAAGGCAGTAGTTAGAGACATCTTTTCCAGCACTAGAAAGCAAGGTTCTACGTGGCTGCATAACTTAATCTGGTTAGAGCCACATCCCGGGACGAAGGCTAGTAGGGGAATAATCTTCAGTCCTAATTTTACATTAAAAACACTATTAAACTTAACATAAATATGACAGTGAACTTTCACTTCAGCATCAACATTGTTAAGGTAATTATGTACAGAGCAGTCACTTTCAACTTTGTTAAACTAATAAAACATGACAATGTCTTCAGATTATATGCTTTTTTGAAATGTGAGTTGTATCTACGATAGTTGTAAAAGTTGCTTCTACTGCTCATCTTTTTATACTCTTTGTCTCTTGGATAGCTTTTCTTTTTTTTTAAGATTTTATTTATTTATTTGACAGAGAGAGAGAGAGAGCACAAGTAGGCAGAGAGGCAGGCAGAGGGAGAGGGGGAAGCAGACTCTCCACTGAGCAGGGACCGTGATGTGGGGCTCGATCCCAGGACACTGGGATCATGACCTGAGCCGGAGGTAGCCCCTTAACCGACTGAGCCACCCAGGCGCCCCTTGGATAGCTCTTCTGATATCAGAAATTTCACTATTCTCCACATAGGCCATTATAAGACTGATGGTCACTTTACTGTTTCATTGTGAGTTCTCATGTGGCAAGGTGTTATTACCTCAATCAGAAAGACTCAAGGGAATGATGACTCAAGACCAAGTTAATAGGGCTGAGTGCCTTATACATATATAGTTGAATTGAAAAAGCTGTACTCTCTTAGCCCAGTGCTCCTAGTCTTATATAATTCCTTTTTTATTGTGCTTCATTTGTGTAATTATGAAATCTCATTTTCAAATTCAAGCAATTTAAAGTAAAAAGTAAAATCTACCACACACATACATCTAGCCTCCCACCTCCCCCTCTTAGGGCATTAATACCTGTCTGCTGTTTGGTGTGTATCGGTACAGATCTTTTGATTTTTATGTGTTTATATGAATATATGAACACAATATAAATATGGAAATTTTGTAATATTTAAAAATTTTTTCATTGTATTTCTTTTGAAAGGTAATACATTCACAAAATTCAAAATTTGAAGGCATAAAATAGTACACAGTGAAAAGTTTCCCTTCCATCCCTGTCCCTCAGCCACCAAGTTTCCTTCCTAGAAGCAACAAATGTTATGGTTTCATGACTTCATTCTGTACCCTTTTATATTTTATACATATAAAAGCCCTGAAACAGTGTGTTTTTTTTCACACAAATAGTAGTATTCTATTCACGGTTTCATACCAATTACTTTTTCATCATCTATAAGTTGGAAATCATTCTATTTAATATAACTTGCAAAGAGTAAGCTTCTCACTTTCTTTAAAAATGTTGCAAGGATTTTCATTGCATCAACATGCCATAATTTAACCGAAGTGTTTCTGATGAAAATTTAGTTTTTTCCTGTTCTCTTGCTACTACAAATAATGCTGTAATAAAAAAACTTTGTATATATGTCATTGGCACATATACTAAATCTATAGGGTCAGTTCCTTAAAGTGGGATTGCTAGGCCCAAACATAGGCCTTTTGGCAGATAATGTCAAACTGCCACTTAAAAAAAAAAGTTTTTTTCTGGTGTAGGGGAACCATAAGTTTCCACAGGACCACTCAGGTGATATTCAGGACAGGCATGTCCAGGCATTGCAGGGAAGAACCACGAGGGGAGCACTCACATGAGGGAAGCATGGGGATCCTGCTCACATGGAACCCACTGAACTCCCACCCACCTATCCACTGACACCTTCCTGCTGCTGCCCCACCCATGCACCCTCCCACACCTGTTCTGTGGCTGGGCACCAGAAGGTTCCACGTGGCCACTCACTGGGTTGTGGATCCCCAAGTCCTGTGATCAGTGTTGGGGTGGTATAGTGAGCAAGACTGGTTGGAAGGGACCTCAGATATCACCTGCTCCAACCCTTATTTCACAGGTTCAATTAAAGTACCTACAAGGGTCTGTTACACTCTGTCATCTCCCTGGTGGTTTCAGGTCACAGCAGAGTGAGGATATCAAAGTTCCATATGTATCACCCCACAAACTAGAAATCTTTTCATCTTTATAGTAAAAATTCACTTGGGGAAGAGGGAAGATAGTGGTGGAGTAGGAAGACCCTAAGCTCATTTCAACTCCTGAACACAACTAAATAACTATCAAATCATCATAAATAGCCCAGAAATAGACCAGAAGCCTGACAGAACAAACTACACAACTATAGGGAGAGAAGAGGCCACATCAAAGAAGGTAGTAACTGTGGAAATGTGGTTTAGGGGGAAAAGGATTGTGGGTGCTGTGGAGGGGAGATGTGGTCATGGAGAAGAGAGAGGGAGAGAGAAAGAGAGAGAGGAGCAGACAGGGGGATGCAAAAGGAGAAGGTTTCCCCAAAGCCATTGGCTTAGAAAATGAGAGGGGCTGAATTTAGTGAGTTCATGCAACCAGCAGGGCTTAAATCCTAGAGCTTTAGGGACACCTGGGTGATTCAGTCGTTTAAGCATCTGCCTTCAGCTCAGGTCATGATCCCAAGGTCCCGGGATCGAGTCCCGAGTCCCGAATCAGGCTCCTTGCTCAGCAGGGAGCCTGCTTCTCCTTCTGCCTGCTGCTTCTCCTGCTTGTTCTCTCTCTCTCTCTCTCTCTGACAAACAAATATATATATATAAAGCCTAGAGCTTTAAAGGTCGACAGGCTTGACTGGGATAGAGCTTGAAGAACAAGTGCTGCTCTTGGAGAGAAGGCAAGCACACAAACTGGGAGTAGACAGCATGAAAACAATGATTTGAAGAACACCTGGGACACAAAAGGGGGAGATTTATTTACTCTACTTGGAACACATCTCTGGGAGAAAGTGTTTGCAAGACCCCTCCCCAGGAACAAAGGAGCTGGATGGTGGCATTTCCCTCCTCCTCTCCTCAGCATAAACACAAAGCCATGTACAGGAAGCAGTGCAGAATTGACACTGGCTGCCTAACATGCTTACACCAAGCCCTTCACCCTTGCACTCTGATGGGACTGCCTTTCTCAGTCACGCTTGCCTCAGTCTCAGCAGAATGGGCCCCTCCCCAGAAGACCAGAACAAATTCCTGCCCACACCATGTGTCCCAACCAGAGAGTTCTGCAGGACTTCAGTTCTGGTAGAAGGGGTGTCAGGTTTCATTTCATAAGCAGACCAGAGCACATCTAGTTAAAACTCACCACATTCAGACTAGGGACCAAACACTGCACACAGCAGGCAAGGAGAGCCTCTGCAGACTGGCTTGAAGGAAGTGCAGACAAAACACAACAGCAGAGTACAAGCAACACACACCAGAGACACTCCCTGAAGTGCCAGGCCCTTTGCACGACATGACCTCTTCTTCATAATGCCATTACTTTCAGGACCAGGAGACATAACTGGCTTTTCTAACACAAAGAAGAAGGCAGAGACTTAGATAGAATGCCAAGACAGGAAGGTATCCTAAATGAAAGAACAATATAAGGCCATGGCCAGAGATGTAAGTGAAACAGATATAAGTAACATGCCTGCTGGAGAATTTAAAGCAACAATCATAAGGATACTCACTGGGCTTGAGAAAAGAATAGAAGACATCAGTGAGACCTTTACCACAGAGATCAAAGAGTTAAAAAAGAATGAATCAGAGATGAAGAATGCAATAAACAAGATGGGAAACAGGCTCGAAGCAATGAACAGTAGACTGGAAGAAGTGGGAATGATGCAGCATAGAACAATATAATGGAAACAACGAAGCTGAACACAAGATAGGAACACTTAATGCAACATGAGAAGAGACTTAGGGATTTCAGAGACTCCATCAAACATAATGACATTCATATTATAGGAGTCCCAGAAGAAGAAGAAGAGACAAAAGGGGGCAGAGAATTCATTCGAGGAAATAATAGCTGAAAACTTCCCAAATCTGGAGAAGAAACAGATACCAGATTTAGGAGGCACAAAGAACTCCCATCAAAATCAATAAAAGCAGGCCAACACCAAGACATATTGTAATTAAATTTGCAAACTATAGCAATAAAGAAAAAAATCTTAAAAGCAACAAGAAAAAAGAAGCCCTTGTCAAGGGAAGACCCATAAGGCTAGCTGGAGACTTCTCAACAGAAACTTGGAAAGCCAGAAAGGAGTGGCATGATATGTTCAAAGTGCCAAATGGGAAAAATCTGCAACCAAGAATACTCTATCCAGCAAGGCTATCATTCAGAATAGAAGGAGAGATAAAGAGTTACACAAAGAAAAACTAAAGGAATTTGTTACACTAAATCTGCCCTGCAAGAAATATTAAAAGGGACGCTTTGAGGGCAAAGGAGAACCCAAAAGTGACAAAGACAAGGAAGGATC